TTTTTCTGTTGATTTTTCTTATACTACTTAAAAAACTAAGTTCATCTAGTTCATTTTTTCCCCATTGTCTGAGCTCACCTGTCACTTTATAGATTAAAAATTTCAGTTTGTTTACGTTCGTAAATATTTACTTATCTCAACAATGCACTCTCTCTAAGCATTTGTGAAAAAAAAAATGATTATAGCTTCACATGCTACGGAAGCGTGAAAATTAATCGTTGTTTACAAAGCACTTCAAGCCATCAATCTCCCTATTTCAGTTAGGTACTTAAATTATACGTCGCGTGAAATGATTAAATTTGATATTTCTACGTTTTCTAGCATAGTATAAGTTAACGTAATAACAGGCAATATTTAATTAAAAAATTTTGCTAAAATTTATAGCTTGGAAAACTATTTTTTAAAAAAATTAGAAGCATAATATTTGGATGCATAATATCCATCAACCGTGTTATCATTTTAATTTACATCTTTTGGAGCATTCCCCCCCCCCTTTATTTATTTTTTTAAGGACTCAAACTAATATATGTTTGAATTTCAGTCTGGTTCTTTTTCGGCAGCAATTTAATGAATTATCCATGACCGTCAAAAAGTAATAAACGAAGGCTAGTTTGTCCTAATGCTTGATCCATGAGTTCCCTTCTCTTATTTTTTTCACGACCAATTATTATCTTAAATTTCATTTTAAAATTATTTTATTTCATAAAATAATAATAAAATAAATCTCTTAATGAGGCGATTTTATTATTTTTTTTAAAAATATACATGTTTTTTAACAATAAATCGATTTTCTCAAATTCACAAAAAACTAACTGTTAATTTTAAATGTTTCTATGCATTCTAGTGCAGATTTTCTCAAATTCACTAAAAAATATCAATTAGCATCCTCCTTTCCACGCTTTGGCCTGCATCTCCTTGTTTAATTAGCCTTTAATGGAAAACGACTTTAAAACAATGTCGTTTTAAACGCATTTTTCTGGAAATACGAAATGAACTCTGGCTTCCCCCATTAATGACAATTTAGTGTTTTGGAAACCGAGCATAAATTAGTGGAAAGCCCTTTCAACTTAACCGTATATCATTCCATTGGAGGATCGTTTCGGAAGTAATGGTTAGAATACCACCCAATCCCATTTCGGACGCGGAAATTCAGTTTACCAGAAACGAATCCTGTTGGGAAGTCCATGTCTAGGATTTGTTCTTGCTCTTTTTTTTCTTCTTCTCGGCCAATATAATTGCCTTATTTTAGTTTTGCTTTGCAACTTCTCTAGCGCCGCCGAAAAAGTTATTTGATTTGTTGCATTGTGGGTAGGAGTGTAAGTAAATTGTTTTAGTTTCTTTGTCGTTCGGAATAAGGAAATACAAATATTGAGCTTTTTATTATTCTTTCTTTTTTTTCTAACACCTTTTGTTTGTAAATGTATTTCAAGTTTGTTACTATAATAAAGTTTGAGAAACTTGTTTTGTATTGTATAAAATGGTAAAAATCTGGAATAGGAAGACAAGTAATGTATTCGTTTTCCTGATTAGTTCTGCCAAGGAAATATAAAGTTATAATGAATCGTTTGCATATTGGTCTCTCACTTATTTTACACTTGAGCATCTAGCTATAATGAACCATTAAGAGTTAACCCTTTGACGGAGAATTTTTGTTAGATTATTTTTCTTACATTTTTCATTATTTTGTATTAATTTATGTCAAAATAAGTGAAAAATATTATATTCAGCAAATATTATACAATTTAAAGAAGGTTATGAAATTTTCCAACGTTAAAGGTAAAATCTTCCTAACACAGTTCGCATCCTAACAATTGTTTTTCAAATTTTCTCTTATTCGCAGTTATTTAGATCTAAGAGAAACAGGTCCCGCAGTGGACTGATCGTTAAGACACTCCCAGCAGATCACCCAGAAGTCAAGCATCACTGGCTACGGTCAGTGTGCGGGTGGGTGACCACTTGGATCAGTCTGCGTAGGGACCGAGGGTGTGCGGCATTGGTCCTCGTTAAACTGTGCTACCGTAAAGTGCTCGACTTCGCGAGGAGGTCGTCGGGCTATCGAAGCGGGTGTGCCATCCCTTCCGCAGAGGATCAAAATTGTGATGGCATGTCTTCGGATCATCCTCCGGGATGTTTCCCAGACCGTCGCCAATAGCCCATTGTGCAGCTCTAGTGCGACGTAAATTAACAACAACAAAGAGAAACAGTTATTCATCATTGAAATTTTTTTAAATTTCATAATCTATTATTATTAAATTTTTGAATTAGAATTTTAAAATATTTTTTTTAATCTACTTTTTTTAGTACAAATGTAATTTTGATAAATCTGATAGATTTTTTTAGGAACTATTAAACTGTTTTTCATAATTAAAAAAATACCAAAATGTATTTTTACTTGTAGTTAGAGCGTCAAGAAATATATATAAGGGACACTGGTGTCCGTTCTGCGACAAAGGGTTAAACACATTCTTACCCTGTGTGTCACACATTGAAATTTCATAAACAGCGCTATTTTGGCTGCCATTCTTTACTCTTACTAAATGGTAATAAACTTCGTGATAATTTTTTTTTCTTTTACCTGAAGGACTTAAATTTCTACCTCAATTCAGTATAAGTAAAATATAAGACTCTTTTTCGAAGACCCTGTTTGCGTCATTTAATAAAGCTTTTTTTTTTTTTTTTTTTTTTTTTTTTTTTTTTTTTTTTTTGCAAATAATGAGCTATTCTCATAACTCCTGTGAGTTTATGACAGTTATTTACGACTATTTAGTCAAATCTAGCCTATCTTCAAACAACGTCATCTATGCTAATTCTGAAAATACATTTCAAAACGTCAATATGATGAAAAGTAACAGTTTTGTGAAAATGAAAGCGTTTGTGATCTAATTGTTTTAAAACATTACTCCAACGTTGCATTATCTGGACATATAGAAAGGAGAAAAAATTTTGCAAAATTTGGCAATCATTAAAAAAGTTGAATTATTTTTTAAAATGTTTAAGTAATTTATCCGTTCTAAATCTCGGATAATTTTTTACGACAAGATGTTATATAGTTTAAAATTATATCTCTGCCCCAAGTTTTACATACCACATCTATCATTTTTTAATAATAAATTATTCTATACTGCATTAATTTGTAAAATTTATTTTTTTACTACGCATTTTAAGAACTGCTGTCGTCATGTTTAAATTTTAATGATTCAGTTTCAATTGTATTAATATGCATATTAATAAATAGTTTATCTGAAATACTACAAAATTTTATCCCTAAATGAATATTTAAATTAGTCGGCAACGTTTGTGATTCTAATTTCCAACTTTATAATGATTTTTTTTATTTTTTTATTCTTAAATTACATTAAAGGATGTACGTTCACGTGCGTGTTTACGTTTTTTGCTATTCAGAAATTCACTGACATCACGTATGAAAGATGTAAAAGAGATAAATCAAAAAATTTTAAACTTGTACTCCCAGTAAAAATTTCATACATTAATTCTACTTAAAATGAAAAAAATTTACTCCATTTTTGTAGATTTGGCCATTTTTGCTCATTCTTTGAAATACTATTCCATTCTTTCTCAGCTAGTTTTTTAAAAATGACGATGCTTTGCGTTTTCTCATAACTGTCGTTGGAATATATCCGTAACTAAACCTATTGAGGAACGGGGTAATTTTTTACCGGAACGGTAGATTGTTGTTGTTGTTGTTGTTACTTTACGTCGCACTAGAGCTGCACAATGGGCTATTGGCGACGGTCTGGGAAACATCCCGGAGGATGATCCGAAGACATGCCATCACAATTTTGATCCTCTGCGGAAGGGATGGCACCCCCGCTTCGGTAGCCCGACGACCTGCGCGCGAAGTCGAGCACTTTACGGTAGCACACTTTAACGAGGACCAATACCGCACACCCTCGGTCCCTACGCAGACTGATCCAAGTGGTCACCCACCCGCACACTGACCGTAGCCAGTGATGCTTGACTTCGGTGATCTGCTGGGAACCGTGTCTTAACGATCAGTCCACTGCGGGACCCGGAACGGTAGAACTTAAACCTTTATTTGACCGTTGTCTCTGTTGCACCAAATTTCGTTGATGCGAATGATTTTAACATTTAGTGTAAGTCGATATTTTATTTGCAAATGCTACAAACTCTTTGAGGTAATTGCAATGCATTGTTAATAATATTTCAAAAAATTTGATTCAATTGCGATGTTGTACTGACTTTGATATTGAGTTATGTAGAAGGTATTCTGTATTCAACAATTTTTAGAATCCGTATTAAAAGTATTGCAAGTATATACAACAACGCTATTGAAATTCTATGAATACGGAGAAAGGCAGTTGAGACTAAAAACGTCAAAACCTGTTTTATTTTATTTTATAACCGTCGTTGAACAGCCGACCCAATTTCATGGGTTTACGACTACTAACGTTCAACTCCGTAGCCTTGTAATTTTGAACCAATCCAGAAGACAAGGAAACTCCTGGATTAGTACCCCCAGAGGTATTGATTTGTTGTGGGAACATGGAGGACTTTGAGACTAGACATATTTAACGTGCATCAGTCACCATTTACTACACGGGGAGTCTTCGGCCGGCGAGGATCGAACCCACGACCTCTTGGATATGGGCCCAGGAAACAAAGTGGATTAGTAACACCTCCACGTTTAATCAGACAATTAAATGTCATTTTATTTTTAATGTTTTCCCCCCCGCTTGCCTCACTCGACAGATTTCGATAACATTTTTTTCTTCCTCTCTTCTATGTTAATTTGCTATTTCAACGAAACTTTAACTTAATTTTTGAGAAGGATTCTAAAAATATATAGTAGGAATGGAGATTACAAACCAACCTGTAGTTATTTTTGTGTTTGCTGCTGTAATGTAACAGGATAAATCAAGTATTGTGAAGTTCTTTAATTAATTTTATTGCCAAAAATGTCTATATTTTATTGACCAAACATGCAACAGCTAATTCCATTTTTTTTTTTTTTTTTGCAGGACCTAACAGCTATTGGAATCACGAAACCAAATCACAGACGCAAATTAAAAGCGGAAATAGCGAGACTAAATATTTCAGATGGAATTCCGGAGTATAAGCCTGTAAGATAACAAAAACTTGCATATTTTAAAATCACTAAAGGCATTTTTTGTTGATCTTCAAGCATTCTTACATTTAATTTCATTTTTCTAGACATCACTGCTAGAATGGCTTCACTTGTTGAGATTGGAAGAATATTTCGAAACTCTCTGCGATCAAGGGTATGATTCTGTCGATAAGGTTACGGAACTCACTTGGGAGGATTTAGAAGAAATAGGCATTCAAAAATTAGGTATGTTTCTATTTTTTATTTTATTGAATTGGGTGTAGAATTATGAAGTATTACCTGTGTTCATTTTCCTCTGTAGAAATTTTGGAAATTCTTCACCATCCTATTTTTTAAAGAGCCGTTCAATAAAAAAATGGCTTAAAGTGGAATTCATAATGGGGATTTATAAATCAATTCATAGAAGGTGTTTCAACTACTAGTTTTGTTTTTTTAAAATTTAGAAATCTTAATACCAAAGTCTCTACAGAAAAAATTAATAAGTCTAACATAAAATTAAAAAAAAATTTTTTTTTAAAATATTGAAGAATATAAATTCTAATTATTATATTGATATTCCTAAAAATAAAAACGCAATCTAAAAAAAAAAAAAAAAAAACTGCACTAAGAGCTTGAACAACCCATTTTACTCTAACCAACATGTTTCAAATTGGTAGTACATACTAATTAAACTTGAGTTTTTCTTTAACCTAACCTTTAATTAACCTTTTTTTTAATGTATTGTTTATTTAAAAGTATTCTAGATGAAGCAACAAGATTTAAGAACTATTATTATTTTTAATGAAATTTATTGTTTAAGGTCAAAATCTATTTTTTTTAAAATCAAAAAATCAAAATGTGCGTAAACTATTTTTGCGTTACAACAAAGGTTTTTAATAAAAAATATATATCATTTAGATTTTCAAAGATGCATTTATACCCCCCTAGTGCAAATATAATTTAAATTAGATTATTTTTAGATTTTTATTTTCAATAGTATGTTTCTCAGGCAGTTAAATATTTTTAAGGGGGGGGGGAAATAAAATTGTAACTAAAACATCTCAAAACATTTTCTAATCATTCCAAACCTTTAAATTTCTACCTGTATTTTAACTTTCATTTGCTTGCATTATTTTTATCCCCTAAAAACTTTCATGAAAGGATGTTATTCATAAATATGTTAAATGTAAAAAAATTATTAAATTTCTGCTAAAATGATTAGGATTAACGGAAAAATAAATTGACATAAATAAATCATAATCTTAAAATTTAGTTTAGTAGTTTCAGAAGAGTATTTCATTTCCATAATATTTTCATGTTTTAAACAAACATTTATAAATCAAAAAAATTTTAAAGGGTTGATGAATAAACTAAAGTTACATTTGTGTCAATCCACTTGAATTTTTATTTTTTAAAAATTATTGAAAATGATTTTTCCTGAACTATTTTTCAGGGCATCAAAAGAAAATTACTTTAGCCATTAAACGAGTGAAAGATATTGTAAGTGGAAGACGTCCCAGTCAAGTTGCAGATGCTCATGACCACCAAGGGACTGTAAATAATTTACCTCGACCGACTACTTTGAGTGAGTATTTACTTCTTGATATTAATTATCGTTTTTCAGTTTTTATGGTTAGAATTATGCCATAGTTGAATCAACTTATTCTAAAAATACCTATTTTAAACACTTGATTTTCTTATTTGATTTTATATTTCAAACCAGATTTTTCCTTAAAAATCGTCGATAGTACCTATTTATTTTTTGAAAACCTTTTTTTAAATGTTGCAACCCCAAATGTCTATTACATTTTGGGTTGCAAATTAATGAAGAAAAAAAGGTTTCCAAACTATGACATATTATTACTATTACTGTGGTCTAAAGAATCAAAGCAGAATTAAAATGATCAAAAACCAGTTTCGTTTGCTTGTAGCAGCAATGGCCTTTTGCTATATGGGTGATTGTCACAAAACATGACAATTCACTGTCCATTGCACCAAGATCTAATACTATAATACTAAAGTAACTTTTTTTAAAAAATTAATAAATAGCATTGACTGTTTTGTATAGTTAAAAAATTTTGTTGAATATCAAAAAGTCATTTTCCTGGCATGTCCCAAACAATGTTTCCAATAATAACTAGCTTCAAAACCTCCCATAAATTTTTCAATATTTAATTTTTTTTATCTCAACCGGTGTAAGCATCTCTAGAATACACGCAGAGGGTATTATTTACAAAAACTTCGTTTAAATTAATTTTTTCTGTCAATAATTTGTTTGTCCCAAGAAAATCTGTCATTTTCCTGGCTACTTTTATTTAGTGGTTTATAACCGAAATAGATAGAGCCAGTAATCAATATCTTTTGTTAATAGATTAATTAGATACCCTCCTCTATGAACATGTCTTGTTGTATAAATAAGGAACCAATTTTTCTGGGTCAAAATCTATTTCAAAAAATTTTTCAAGGTGAGTAGGTTTTTGTGTTGTCATTTTCCTGGCTTCTTGAAATCATTAATAACATAAACTACATAGATTTATCTGAGTTATTTTAAGAAATCCTGTTGTTTTTTGCAGGATATAAACGTCTTAGGCAAAAATATTAAATTAAAATAAAGTTATATGCTATAAAATGGCGAGTTTGTCATTATCCTGGCTGTCTTTTTCCTGGCTTATGAATACCAGGACAAGAAAATTTTTTAAACTGCTAATACTGTAAGGAGGGAAAGCAAATATTAACCTAATACCAAGTTTATGTATGATTGTAATATGCTTGGATGTAATCAAAGTTATTTATTTATTTAATGATTGATTATTATAAAAAATTTTATTCTGTACATGTCAGCAACAAAACAATTTTTGATTCTTTCAACAGTGGACAAAAAGAATTAATTTTAAGCAATTTATAGTCCATCTAACATAAAGGCTTAAGTTAAGTTGCTCACTATTAACTTAAAATGACTGTTTTTTAAACTTCTAAGCTAATATGTCATTTTCCTGGTATTCAAGATTTGGTGAATTTCTATTTTAATTTTTTTCTCGAACAAGTATCAATAAACTACACTGCTGTATGTAAGATATTAATAAGTGTAACTAAAGAAGTATACAAAAAAAAATTTAAGATTATTTTGAGGACTTTAAATTTGAAGAAATGTTTTGGACCGATTTGTCATGTTTCTTGAGAATCACCCATATATCACCTTAAATAACCTGGTTTTAAATTATTTTAATCATTCCCCTGCTTCCCAATAGCTCATAATGAAACTCTAGTGCCACATAAATAGAGTACCTGCATGCTCTTATTGACATTAGCAGTGATTAATCCTATTTTCAGAATGTTCTTTCTTCAAGCATTCTAGAAATGTATATTAAATGCGGTCATTCGCTGATTATCCTGTGTACGAAAATCATGTTTACTATCATTTCCAAGCACTCAGTTTTCTTCATTTAACTCATATTGATGAAAATGTGCCATTTTTATATTGCAGTAAACAATTAAATAGTGAAAAACAATAAATAGTAAAAAATGAGTAATAACATTTGGCAATATGCCTGTATGTTGAAACATGAAAAATGACAACGTTTGGTCTATGATGATGTAGATAATTCTGGACAGAAATGTATTAAGGACATAATATGGTCTTCTTAAAGTTGCATGTTACTGCTTGTTGCTAATATTAATTCCTGCTACAAGTATTTTAGATTAATTAACTTTGAAGAAAATATTGTTGTTGATGTAACTAGCCAACGTAGATGTAATGTGTGTTGTTCAAATAAAAAGTTTTCCAAACATGTAAAAAAAAAATAAGTAAATAAAAATCCATGCAGAAATGGTTAAATTATATGTTGATATCAATGTTATGAAATGCTGGCATTTTATAGAATGCCTGTAGTCTATTGTATATAACGTCTGACATTTTTAGCCTGAGTATGAAATATGAGAATTGCTTTGTGTTGTTGTATAGAATTTTTTTAGGTTAGTCATTAGTCAATATATAGAATATCGGATTTCATACATTGATGGTAACATAATACAATAGCCCACATAATTATTTTTACTCATTTACTTTTTCTTTTGAAATAACATTAAAATCTATTCAGGATTTTCTGAAATAATAGTTTATGCTGGAAATTTGGATTTTTTCAACCAGTTACTTCTGACAAGCATGTGTTTCATTTTAGGCATATTAACTAAAGATAAATTTTCATTTCATTTGTTACTTAATCATAAACTTTTTATTTTAGATAATGTCCCACCCTATTCCTACCACAGCCAAGAAATCACCATCCCAACTCATCAGACTAGAGTTTCTCCTACAACTAATGATCCTAATGTAGAATTAAAGACATTCCAACAATCACCACCTAAAGAAGAAACTTTTAGGCACTACATTTCAAATCGTGACTGTAACTCTCCGTCCCACCTCAATAATTTATATCAGCCGAATGTTGTTACTATTCAGGTATAGTTACAGTGTTCTAAGATTTAAAATTATCTTGATATTTCTTACACATGCATATTTTCAATCATTTTGTTGTTGTTTATCTTCTTGAATTCTATTGTTCTTTATTCTAATGATTTCTATGTTTCCTTATCGTATTGAATTCTTTTGATTACTTTCAGATAAATCTACTTAAACTATACTAATAAATACTGTAATTTATTGTTATAATAATTGTATAAACAACTTAGAGTATGGAAAAAGTAGAACAAAACTCATATAGAATGAAGAAAAATTATGAAGAAAACAAATAAACAAGGAGTTATTGCCCGTAGTTATCATTTTCCAATCAAGGGAAGACAAATTTAGGCTGATCTTTTTGGTGAGAAGAAAATCTAGTGGCAATTTTTTTACATGAACTGATAAAAATTCTTTATTAGCACGAAGTAAAAACTCAAATTCATCATTATTTCTGTAGCTAATACAAGAGCAACTATTTTCAGAGCAGCTTATTTCTCTGTTTTTCTTAAAAAAATTAATAAATAGAATGCTATAGGTAATTTTTTATCTTTAACATAGTGGTATTAGCTCTGGGAAAATGATTCCTTTTTTTTTCTTTTAAAGTTTGAGGTTAGTTTTCCTCACTTATATAAGTTGTAGGTTTTTGGTCAACATCAAAATCTAACACTTTCATTGGATTTTCTCACATTATGCGATAGACATATTTTTTTATCGAAAATTAAACTAGTTTTTAGAATTTTTCACTGTTATCTATTTTAAGATTTAATATTACTAGAGTCTCACAAGTTTTTGGTGCCCTTGCCTTAATTTGAATAAATCATGTTATAATTTCAAATTTTTCGTGCAAAACACTTTTTAATTTTGATTAAAAAAAGGATGTTGCTTCTAATGCCACTTGCCAATGCTAGCAATCCTGTTTAGTGAAACCAAGCAAATTTAAGGCAGAGAATGAGTCTCTTGTTTTTCAGTGGCGCCATCTATAGCCAAGAATACAACTTCAGCCACACACACATCACACCTCATTTATCAGAAGGACCCATTCATTCATCCACAGAGCGTAATTTTGACCTGAACCATAGAACAATCAATGTCCTATTCAATATCCCTAGAAGTATTTATTTGTTATGGGAAAACAGTAGACTTTGTGCCTAGCAGATTTAATGTGCACCAGTCACCATTTTCGACACGGGGAGTCTTTAACTGGCTGGGATCGAACTCACGACCTCTTCATGAGCACAACGTCCTACCAGCCTATTTATGCTCGCCTCAAAGAATTATACAAATTACATGCTCAGTTAAAGAATTTGCAATTATAAAGTATTACAAATTTTTCCAATTTTGTAAAAATTTAATGATCTCATAAATTGAACTGATTTGTGGTAATCAATTTTATCAGCCTTGGGTGATCTCCCAGTTTGTTACTCTCTTAAACATGATCTTGATAAATTGCACGTGTGAAATTTATTCAACTTCAATTTAATTTTTTTGTTGCTACTGAAAAAACTTTGATATTTAAATCAATTTTTTTCCATGCATCCTAGTTCATCTAATCAAATATTCATCTAATAGATTACCCAGTTTTGACAGTTTCCCCAAGTCCAGGGCTGATTGTGCTCCGGAAAAAATCCGAATTTTTCTCTAACAGTGATCCGGAAGTTTCCGGAGATCAAAGGTTCAGACATTTCAAAAAATTATTGATCACAAAAGTTTCCGGAAATCAAATTTTCAGAGGTGGAACTTAAAAACACAGTTTATTTTATTTGTTTGTAAGGGAGAACCAGATAATTTATGAGCTTATACTCAAGATTAATATTTATTTTTTTATCAGTAAATAGTTATTATTATCATAAACTCAAGAAAGACATATTTGTAAATTTCAATTACTTCTCCAGGTCTTTCATAGGTATGTGTAAAATTTTAAATATATTTTAATTAAACTAAGAAATATTGAGAAAAAGGAAAAAACCTTGTTTAGATTTTTTTCTAATTATTTTTTTACTCAAGAAATTTTCCGAAATTTTGAGTTGGGCTCACAATCACCCTTTCAAGTCTAATTGTTACTACCCTTTTGAGCTATAACATGAGGGAAACCGTTTATTGCGAATTTAATTTCACCTACATAGGTTACTTAAAGTTTAGAGAAAAGCAAGTTCAGGTAGACATAGAGTAAACCATAAAGTTTCAAATTATGATTTTTTTTTCTCAAAATATCAAAACACAAACACTTTATGACAGTATTACTCACAGTGGAGAAATGATCCTCCCATAATTTGTTTGCAGTTGAAACTTTATGGTTTACTCTAGGACTCTAACTAGACTTGCTTTTCTCTATGCTTTAAAATGTCAATGGAGCAGAAAATTGGTGATTAAAAATTTCTCCCATGATATCACATCATCTTAGCATCTCCAATAATTAAATTGTATCATATATCTTTATTTTAATAAAAATTTAAAAGTATGCCGCTTAATTTATGCTAATTTGTTTGACATAAACAAAGAAAATATGAAAGTAAGTAGGTTTCAATTTGCGTCTATACATTTATAGAGTCATTATAATGCTGATTTATGTTTAGTTATCTAAGATTAATGATATTTTATCACTATTATGTAATCCATAGACAATGGAAAAAGACTGAAAAGTTCAAAATTGTACTTTTCCCCACCTTTCCAACCATACATCATTTTACTATGAAATACTCGTTCTTTTTAGGTTCGTTCAACTAGCCGAGGTAGATCTCTCGAGAGTCTCGACATGGATGACTCTGTCTCAACTGTGATGCATCCTCCCTATTACGGCAACTCCGACTGCTGGTATGATACTGTGAGTGCATGGAGAAGTAATGGATATGACACAGACAGTGAACTCAGTGTCCACGACCATTACAACTCATATGAAACTAGTGGAACTGCAACTCTCAACAGACCAAAAGGCATGGTGAAACCAAGACCAGTCGCCAAAATCACCGCAAAGAGCCGGCAATCTGATCCAGAAATAAACTATGACATAGACGATGACCCAAAAACCCTCAAAATAGCAAACCAAATGATAGACAGCTGGTCACCCCAGCATTGGTCCAATATGAACTCTTCACAGCTTTATGGTACATTGAGGAATAAAAGAAACCCACCGCCTCCGCCTAAGAGAACTAACTCGATTAAAAACGAACGTAGCATTGAAGCAATGAAAGACGAGGCTTTTGCAACTTGTGTGAAAGGACTTGCTTCGAGATTTGTTATGGGCAGTACTACAGAACTTCCACCTCCTCCTGGTGATACTGACAGATCAGTATCTCCAGCTTTGACTGAAGACTTTCCTCCTCCTCCTTCCCCTCTTTGTTCTGTTTTGGACTTGACAGATTCTTCTGTTCCGAAAGAGGACAATGTTCGTGCCAAAGATTTACCAGGTGATAATTCTCGCGCCAAGTTCCGGCAGAGGCGAAAAGACTCTGCAGACTCTAACATTTCGACATCTAGCACAGAGTCGAATTCTCTACCTTTTGCCAATGAGAATGTTGGGACTATCAAACAAAGAGCTGCAAAGTCTATAGCTTGTGAGAATTCGCCGGCTGCTTCTCCATCGTCGACACTCAGGAAGACTAGCTTGCCTTCAAGTCAAGGTACATAATGTCAAATCTAAGTTCAATTTATTTAACCCTCTGACTGCTATCGCAGAAATCTCATACCTCGTTGCTTTCTTAGATGTAGACGGATTGTGAGTTAAAATCCTCTAACCATTGGGCTAACTGATTTTTTCTCTTCATGTAACTCAAATGCGGTTTTATTCCATCAAAAGGCCCTCCACAAACCCTAGCTTGTCCCAATACTTGATCCAAAAGTTCACTTGCCTTCTGTATTGGGTTCAAAACTACAAGTCTATGATGTTGAACATTGATAGTGATAAACTTAAAATCGGATTGACGGTTCTGCGTCAGTTACAAAAGAAAAATACCTCATTGCTTAACAACGAGGAGAAAAAAATTTTTTTTTTTAATTTGTCTGCTATTTAGTATGTAAATTCATAAATTATAAAAATTAAATCATGGCATTTTAAAACTTAACCATTTGGGAAGAGACTATGTATTAAAAGTATCAAATGTTTTGATCACTTATATGGTGGATAGATGTGTAATAGAATTGGATTGTGTATTATATTGTAATGTCCTAATACACTGCTGACAAAATCAATATTGCACAAAATGTATTCATTTCCCTCTGATTGTTTAAATTAAAGCAATTAGCAGTCATCTATTTCTTAATATACCTGCTAAAGTATTTTTTGTCTACATATTGATTTCTATACTTTGCCTGAGCTCTTGCTCTTATATGGTTTGTAAAATAGCCCCACAATGTATTTGTCATTTGAATAACTGTTTTTATGTTATGTGTGGCATTTTTACATCTACATAGCCTAAAAAAGTAGCTTATAATTATAATAGCTAACCGTATAATATATAATAGCTAACCGTATTTTTACGTTTACAATCTCAATTGCCTTATTTTCAATACTTATAAAAATTAATAAGATAATTTGATAAGGCAAAATTTGTATTCAATTTTTTAAGTAAAATTTATAAAGACATTAATTTTATTAACAGTAACATGCTAGGTTTCTTTTTGAATAACAGTCACTTAATAAACGAAAGTTGTTGTATTGAAGAAAAAAAACAGCACTTTTCAGAGGAATATTTTTAAAGCTATTGTTTTTAAATATAAGTTAGTAAAAAAAAATTATTTTTTTAAAGCATTAAAATCTTTAAGTTGATTAGATGTATTTTTAAAAAACTGCAAATTGATAGTGAGTTGAATTCTATAAAAAATTAATTCAGAAAACACATAAAACGTTTTTAAAATGGACAAAATTTATGTGGCAATGGTTTAAAAATAGTTATTCAAAAAGTGCATTTACATTCCTACATGTTGCCAGGTACTAGTTATGGTACTATAGGCCATATTAAAGATTAATGTAATAAAGATTTGCTCATATTTCCTGAAATATGACAAAAAACACAAGGGAGTAAAACTAGTGTTAAGGAGCCCAATTATTAGATTGATCTTGACTAAACTATTGGAACAATTCAAAATTGTTGAAATAAATAAATTCAGAGAAGTTAAGTTTTTGTATGACATTCCCTAACGTAATAAGAGTAGTTAGCATATTTAAGGACAACCCTTTAAACTATTAAGATTGAAAATTCAATAGTTAGAACAAAAGTTGATTAGAGTGATGTTTTATTTAATGAAATGATGACCCACTGAGCATAGTAGCATTCATTCTATAATAGGAATTTTCAATTGTTTAAAGACTTAGTGTTTTTCTTATTACAAATCCTAATATTTTATAAATTGTTGTAGTTAATATAATATAAAATCATAAATTCATTTACTAAACACAGTGTAAATATGGAGTAAAATTTCAACAATGACACTCTACAAGCTTCCAGGAATTGATTTAAAAACTGACTCTTTTATGAATTATGTTCTGTAAATAACGAATGTTACTCCTGTTGTACCTACAGAATTTTTAATCTATCAGTATATTTAAAGTAAGATATCTATCAAATAGCATGTAAAAAATATTAGATTTTTCTATTCTGATTTATTTTTTATTTATTTCTTGCAGCGTCTGTGTCAAATAAACGAGTAACAGATAAAAAAGTGCTAAAGGATGGTAGTAGTCGTGCCATGGATCAGTAAGTTCCTTTTATTTTCTTGAACTATATTAATTATACTTAATAAACTGAATTAATTTTAAAGGTTTTGATTTAAAAAAGATGTATCATAGATATTTATATAATATTGTGTAATTTCTATATTGTTAGTCTTTTTTATATTGCACGAAATTTTGAATATGTAAGAACAAATTTGCTTAATCTCATCTGAATTCATTTTACCTTCTTGCCGTATTGCAGTAGTTCACCCCTACAACTTTGAGGGAGAGTAACCAGGGATCCGGTTAGGGGTTTTCTGAGAGGTACCTATTTTGTGAAAATTAAAAATTATATTAAAAAATCAGCACAAAAATATTATTTATCGTTTCTTATGGGATACAAAAATGAAACTTTAGGAAAAAATATTTTGTGAAGTTACCATTTTTCCTTAAGGTTAATTTGTGAAGGTACTGCTAAAGGGTAGTAAATTTGGCCTGGACAGACCCCTCGTAACCGTACAATGTACTATTTTTCAAACAAATTATCATTATCATTTACATACTGTATAATATAATTTAATAGGTATTTACTGTACATAAATTGGTAATTTGTATTACAATTTTGTAGGTAGCATCATTACTAAATTTTGCATGTGTGAAACCTTTTAATAGAAAATAGCATCAAAACAGTTCTCTAGGACTAATTTTTCTTCTTCTTAATATACTTCTAACACTACATTAAAAATTATTATGTAGTAGTTATTTTTTACTTTTTCTTGGTCTAAAAAGTTTCTTTTTAGCCAAATAATAGCATATTTTTAAAGATTTAAGATATTAGGTAACTGCAATATTATGACAGTAATACCACTACAAAACTCTTGTAACTATGTTTTTTAAGTGTTTGTTGTATCGAATCTATAGCTTTTAGTATTATCATGGGGCGTAGCCTTTTTAGAAAGTGCTTAAAGGTGCTTATTTTCGTTATTTAAAAGCCCATAAAGATGCTTTTTTCATTGGGTGTTTTTAAAAAGTGCTTAATTTTCCCTTTTCAAAAATGAGATGCGAAAGCGTGCTTTTCACATTGTTCTATTCAAAATTTTCACAGTTCGTTTCGGCGTACCATCGGTCCATAGCGCATGAAAGTGCCCATCATTTTACTTGTTTGATGAAATACTTGCGAGTCCATATGTGCGTCGACTGAACTGGGTTCTGTGAGTTTATTGCCTTCTCATGTGCAACTCTGCTGCATTTTGCAAGATATTCTCAATTTCAGACTTCATTTTCGACCCTCTGATATGGAACCGAAAAATCCTTCGATCATTTTATAGCGGCTAATATAATCAAGAAAAAGAGTTCTTTGTTAGAAACTAGTTATTTTCTCGTGATCATTTAAAGTTTTTGAAAATTATTTTGCATTTTGTTAATGTATATAGTGCTTCAAAATACTTTTTGAGTACTTAAAAAGTACTTAAAAGGTGCTTATTTTTTGTTGAAAGATTTGGTTTTGCACCTTGGTTATATTTACTTAATCTAATCACAAATCCATTGTTAAATCTTAGCTAGCTCAACTATTTAAATTCATAAATTTTATAAAATTGAAGTAGTAACAAATATCTATTTTATGGAATATGTATGTTGAGTGCCAATAAAATTATAATTGTTTTACATTGTTTTTATTTTAGTTCTGGTGCCACTGATGTGATAGTTGATATAGAGAACATGTTGGCTAATTTATCCACTCAACTAGACGCTATGTTAGAATACCAGTTAAAGGAGGGTTGAATCTATCAACCGTAGCTCTGTCCAAATTTTAACAACCGAACAACAACCATTTTTACTCACTTTTTGATGTTGGAAAAAAGATATAGAAACATTTTTGGATTATTTAATTAGACGCTGTAGCTGGCTATGGCAACAAAAAAAAAGAATTTTTAAAAGAAATTCATTTTTTCTCCCTCTTTTCAGTGTGTAGTTCACAGATTTTTCAACTTGTTGCTGATATCAAAACAATCTTGAATTGAAAAAGAAGAAAAAAATATTGTGTAAGAAATACTGAGCTATTTTCATATGAAAAAAAAAACTGGTAGTGTTTTTCACATTTGTACCAAAATAGGATTTTATGTTCTTTAACCAATCGGTTCTGTTCCTTTTTTCTTATCTTTACGGAAAAATTTTGTTTTCAATATAGTTTTGAATTGTTTTTATGTGATCAGGGTTCATTCAGTACTAAAAAAACACTTAGTGCTTAGAATGCAGTGCACAGGGAAATAACGATATGTTTTAACAATATATCATTCTTGCGAAAGTGAATAACATGTCTTTTGCCGAGTATCGAAAGTAGGATAAGTATCCACAACAATAATATCACAAGTATAATGGTTAATAATACAATCCTGTGTGCTTAAATTAACTTTGGGTTACAAAAATATTGTGAAATTTTGATTTTTCCAATGATTTATCGCAACAATGAAAATTCTCACATTGCCTGCCTTTTTTAAACAATTTATTATTTTTAAGTAGAAATGTGGTGATAAAAATAAGCTTGCTTATTAGAACTAATCTTTAAAAAAATATTTAAATCTACTAACAAAAATCTATGTTTTCAGTTGGAATTAAAAGGTTTGTTTTAATCAAATTGGAAACTAAAAATAATAAGATATCCAGTTAGCGTTCTATCAATAGATTTACTATTGCTGTTAAATATTAAGTTGGTAAAAAATATTTTAAGGACATATTTTTTTTAAATAATTTTAAATTTATATTGTGTCTTTTTGCAAGAGCTGTCTGAACCCTGGTTACTAATTATTATGTTCCTGTTTAAACGAATGTGACCTCTGAAGGCTTTTAACCGTAACAAATTTATGTTTATGAGTAAAATATCAAATTGCAGCAGTAAAATGAAAGTTTTTCTTATTTTTTCGTTACACATTATCTATAACTTATGTTTAGATAAGATTTGTGTATTATTGAATTTCATTAATTTCAACGCAACTAAATTTATGTCATTAAAAATTAATGTCAAGAAATTATGTTGTTTCAGTTCTTTTATATATTTGAAAAATATTTGTTCAAAATAAGTAACAATTATTTGAAAAAAAGTATACTAGTAATCTTACTGTTAGAAATGGCCTATATTCAATTTTAAAATAATTAAATGACAGCATATTTGTCGCCAAATGAAATATATTTTTGCTAGTTATCATTGTCATTTGATACAATTTTTTCAGTAACATTTAAAATGTTAAAAAAAAAAATTTCTCTTTATTTTTGAAAAATCTGTTTCCCGATTAATTCCTTATGTTTTTCAAATATTAAAAGATAAACAGTTAATCTGGTTTGTATTTTAACATGTGTGTGGCTTCCAGTGGCATAGGTAGAAAATATTCTGAAATCTATTTCCAATAAATCTATCTAATAGAATAAAATGCTTCCTAAATATTAATGGAATAAAAAAAAAAATTTATTTCATTCTATGATGATAAACAAGTTTAGATGCTTAAATTACTAATATGAAAAAATATGCAAGCATATTAACCACTTTTAATGTGTCATTTTTTGTTAATTTAAGTTGCCTGAACTTGTATAATTTTGTCATAATTTTTTTTTTTTAAATTATATTTCGGGCTATATCAAATGTAGACAAAATTCAAGACCACTATAAATTATGTAATCGATTTCACTGTTTTGAAATGTTTCTTTCTTGAAACTATGATAATTTTTACTCCTTTCTATGATTTAAATTTTTTCTTAAACACTTTGTCATAGAAAGGATTAAAATGTAAACCATTATAAACTAAAACATTTATCTATGTTCACTTAATCTCAATTATCTGTCGTACTTTTTTTATTAATAAATATTACATAAATAATATTTTACTAATAATTTTTATCTGCAGTGTGGTTAATAATAAATTTCCACTTTGCCTTTTTTTAGGGCATGCAGAAAGTTAAACACACTTGATTCGGAACTTAAAAATTTAAAGAAACACGTATTGAAATTAAATACTTTTGTACATGATAATTAATAGTTTTGAAATTTTAAAGTTGTAGATTTTCTAAGTGCGCCTCTGTTTTCATTGTCTTTAAGTTAATGATCAAATTTATAATACTGAATTTCCTGTAATTTGATCATTGATATCGAAGATAACTTTGTAAGCCAAGATAAATAAGTAATTTGCTAAAAAATAAAAAAAATTCTCAGCTTGTTTATTTCAATTATTCATTCTTGATGTTTAACCTTCTGAATCCTTTTTGAAATTAAAATGATATACTTTTTAAAACATACTATCAATTTATAAGCTATTTTTTTATGTAGAAAATAAGAATTTGATAAAATATCATTGATTTAGATCATAAAAATATCCATTACAAGTCCTGTTGTCAAAGTAATAATTAAATGAACAACTCAGTTATATAAATTTTTTCCTACATTCTCAAAAACATTTATTCCATTTTAAACTATAATATCCATAGCTTGAATCATAATATTATACAATGTTGCAGCAACTTTTAAAAAGTATGAAATTGATCTATATTTCCATTCAAATTTAACTTCTTCAAATTCAAGTTAGTTTAAGTTTAATTTAATGGTATTATGGTTCAAGCATGTTATTCGATGCCAGGTTCATTGCATTTCAAAATTTCTGTCCAAACTAGAACTAAATTTATAATAAATGGTGCTGAAGAATTCTTTCAAAACAGGACAAGAGCGAAATATTAATTGGAATTGAAAAAAAAAACATAATGACCAAATGTTTTGTTCATATTAAGCATTCACATGGTTAAACATCACTTACATTACATGGTAAAAAGTAATAAAATGTTGTAAAAATATTTTTTTATTAGATATGTTAATAACTCTGGAATGTGCAAATTTTTTTCCCTTATACAGAGATCATAATTGAAATATTTCTTAATACGTGTAGCGTTTAGAGATTTTGAATATTTTTTTTAATTAGAATTCAAAATTTTGATTTACGTATTTGTAATAATTTTTATAACGTAAAAATCATTGTAAAATATAATAAAGTAGATAAAGAAAAATATAATTGAAAAATTATCTTAATTGCACATTCTGGGGTAAAAAATTATTGTTGTACTAATTTTTTTATTTCAGGTGATTTAGAATAATTTTTGTTTTTTATTATGTATTTTAATCACTCAAAACTGTTATTAATGATTTTTTTATGCATAAGTATTTATAATGCCCAGTGCATTCATTGCAAAAGATATCTGTTTAACAATATATTGTTGATTAATATCTCCTATCAGAATTGTACTTTCGTATATCTTACAACTATCGTGAAAATTAACTTCAGAATTAAAAAAATTATGTTTTTCTGTTCGTGATGGATTTTTAAAATTATAGTAGCCAACTCATGCTAACTTGAAAAAAGTGCATTATGGCTTTTGGATTCATTTTACTGCTGCAATTTTATGCTTAAAATTTTTTAGCTAAACAAGAAGAAATGATATAGATTGTTAACTGTTGTATGTTGTGATGGCTGTGCTTTGGATTTGGATTTTTAAGATAGATGATATTGGAAGTTGTTAGATACTGTTCTCGACAATCTTTGTGCTTTTCGGTTGCACAAAGTGATTAATGTACTTTTATTTCAATTTTTGTTTTCAGAATTTAATATGTGCTTAATTTATATTTAAGTGCAGATTTATAAATAAAAATGCTTTTTCTTGACGTTTTCCTATTGAAAGGAGAATCGTTTTTATGTAAGAAATGATCTAAATGAAATAAATAAAGCTGTAGAATTTTTTGTTATTTACTGTTTCTGGTCTTTTTTTGTTGTTTTGATTTTCAGTAAACTTCATTTTTAATAAAGAAGAATCAACATCAGACACAAATTAATTAGTCAGAGAGGAATTATTTTGGGAATTAAGATAATTCTTCATCGACCAATTCAGATTTTGAGCCTCAGTCAGTGAGTATGCCGTAATCTGAAAAATATGAAGTAGTTGATGAGTAACCGTAACATGACAGTGTCATGTGTGCAACTGTTTTGCTTAAAACTTCAGCCACTGTATTAAAATTAATAGTAATATAATTAATTGCTATAATTTTCTATTAAAATCTTCTAATTGTTATTAAACTTGAATATCTTTCTTCTAAAGACTCAAAGCCACTGAATAATGGGATTATGAACTTTAATTGGTCCCCCTATAATGTAAATTTAATTTCCGCTGTAACTCTGCATTTATTTAAAAGAATCGGAAAAAAATTTGCACACAATTATAAGACTAAAGAAGAAATTTCATCCAAAAAAATCTTTACTTATTTTATATTAATTCATTTGATAGTTATCGAAAACCTTTTGAATTAGGAGAGATTCCAATTTTTACATTTTACTATAGTTAGTAAATTTAGCTAACAAAAAGAGTACAATCAATGGAGCTATTCTTGAAAAATAAAAGACAAAAAATTCTGCATTACATAGTTTAAAAAAAGACAAATGAATGTGTATACTGAAAAATTCTGCAATAGAAAAATAACATAAGCGACAAAAATTCGCAATTTAGTTTAAAATATTTGAATTGATGAATGATAAGCACTTAAACTTAACGTAAAATTCTTTTAAAAAATCACTTTCATTTCATCAGTTTTCTGAAATTCTATTTTAGCCCAAATAGCGTTAGCAAGGGAGAGAAAGTAATTGTTAAACAGTCTTTCATGAAATCTATCTGGAAACATATACGTTGTTTTCTCAATTGTACAGCAGTATGCGTTGCAATTAAATTAGTCTTAATATTTTATTTTAATTAAATAGAGATCTCATTTGTTAATAAATTTAACTATTTAAATTAATTTTTATTAATTTATGTTTACATATTATTATTAATTGAAAAGTAAGCAATATTAATAAATTTTAAAAAAATAATAATAAACATTTAATATAACAAATAATAATAAATAGCAAACAATTAATTAAACAACCTAGAAATAAGCAATAGCGCTACCAATTCGTCATCAAGATCAATTTTCAGTTCGACTTTGCTTATCAGTATTATCAATTGAATAAACGAGATGCTCAGAGGAAAAAAAAAACACGTTACTTTTTTACTAAGCAGTTAAATTGGCAATGAAAATTACTATCTTGTAGTCGAATTTAAAAAAAGAAAGATGAAGTTGGTTTATATTATATTTCCACAGTTTTTCACTTAATTGTTAAAAAATAATGATATGGAGCAAATATAAATGAATATTTATGTTAATATTATGGACTCCATTCATATTTCTCATTCTTAAATAGTTCTACCCAGAAAAGAAATTGTATAACAGCCCAATTATTTGCTGGAAAAAGCCCCATTATTCACCTAAAAGTTTGTTTCACTGTACCAATGCAACCATGACGATGAAACATCTTTTACAGTGGGGTAAAACTATAACGTTTAGGAGAAATTTTACATGTTCTTTTATTATAATTATTATTTTAAAATAACTGTTCATTTTAATCATTAGTAACTAATTTTTAATGTTTCCTTTATTTTTTGTTTTTTAACAAATAAAATAAAAAGTATTTTAATGTATGCAAGAATTCAAGCTCTTTTTAAGTTTAAAACTTTACATAGAAAAATATATTTATAAGAATGAGTTAATTATATTTAGTGCTGCCATCTAGTAATAAAGTTTAGAACAAACCGCTATTTAATTTATTTATTTGTTATATAGTTTAAACTAATTTTAAAAACATTTCGTGAAATACCAATTATAAATATCCTAAATATTAAAAGTTAAATATATGTACGATTAATAAAAAAGATCAAAGATAAAAACTTCTTAACAAAAACTTAATTTAAAATTTTTTTATCACTTTTGCCTCAATAAACAAACAGTTCTTCAATACTATTTTCTGCATTTGTATTAAAATATGGTAAAATAAAGTATAAAACTACTTAAAAAAATTTTGTAGATATTTTTTTATTATTCAAAAATATATAAAATCATGGAAAACATTCAAAACGAGATCAAAATCTAAAGTAATCTTGCGAATCCTAGAAAAAGGATTATTGCATTCTTATTCAATTATAAATTGGAAATAAATAAAAATATTGATAAGTAACCGAATAAATTTAACACTTTACATAGATTTAAAAAAAATTGGTAAAAAAAAAGTGTCAGTTAAAAAAAAAGCGTCAAAAGAAGTTCTAAAATATCACGTGCCATTATGCCTTTCTTTTGCATCTTTTGCCGAAAAGACTAATTAATAACAAACATTTAAAAATAATGCAATTAAACCTAACCTAAAATCTGAGATAGAATTTGAGAAAAATTTTTAGTGTTATTATTACGCATTATTACCATTATTATGTGTTATTACTATTAATATTATCATAAATTATAACATAATATAAATATTAAATATAATACATTAACGGTAATACTATTAATAATAATAATTACGACCATACATAAAAGTAATAATATATAACAATTATTTTATATTATTACTATTATTATGTATTATTACAATTATTATTAAACAATTTAAATAACGAGTTCGAAACCAAAAACAAGCTAAACGAAATTTTAAAAATATGTTTGTGTGTTAGGGGGGGGGGAAATGCAAAATTACAAATTAACATTTTGTTTTGTTTGCTTTTGGTTTCTAACTTTTTATTTAAATTGCTTACATTAGTCAAATTTGGCTTCAGCTGCTTTTAGCCCTTTTCCATTTTGACTTATTCTTTTAAAGTTTTTATCTTAAAATTTGTTTAAATCAATTTCATTCTCCGATTGTATGCAATCATTATTATTGTTGACCTAAGAAAATGGAGTGACAAATTTTTAAACTTCGAATTTTGCAAATAATCAGAAATAGTATATTCTAAAGAAACTACAGCTTTAAAATACTACGCAATTTTAAGAGCATTAAAAGATGATTTCACAGAAATCTGAGCCACAAAATTTAAGCAATTTTATTAATTTTCATTTGTTAGTAATAAATTATTACTAGGCTAAAACAAAACAGTTGCCTTTGATAAAATCGTTGCAGCTTTAAAATAATTTCAATAGATTAAAGATTGTGCAAATGATAAGAAATTATTTATAATTAATTTTAAAAAAAATATGATACTCCTCCAATGATACATTTAAAATATTTTAAAAATAACTATTTTTCTGACAATTTTGCTGGAATTTTCACAATTGTTTTTGAATCATGGAGACATGAAAAATTTTTTATAACTCACTTTGAGCATTTTGTCTGCGACTATTATCATTTTAAAATCTTCGGGTTTTAACTTTCATCTCATCATGCTAAAACTAACAAACTAACACACATTGTTGTTTTAGATTGAAAAGTATATATAGATGTTCTGTAAAGACCGCTTTAATTTAAATTTTTAAAATCACCCTCCTGTCTGAAATTTAGATATCTCAATACGTTTTTTATTCTTATCTTTTATTATTATACTTTATTTCCTTTTTATTATTTTTTGTTTGATTTTTATTACTCTATACAATTAATTTCATATCCTATAATCTTTGTCTACGACCTCTTAAAATCATTTTAAAACCTTCCGTGTTTTAACCTTCAAAACACCATGAAAAATTGACAGAACAACACAGATTGTTATTTTAGTCTGAAAGCTAGATGCAAATGTTCTATAGTAACCGCCTTTAATGTATGTTTTTAGAATTCTCAAAAACGTTCGGCAGTTTGTACATCTTAAGATTTTTTTAATATTTATTATTCCTTATAATTAATTTCATATGTACTCGGTCTGCGACCTAATGAAATTACATGATGATAAAACTAACAGACCAAGACAGATTGTTGCTTAAGCCTGAGAACTATGCACAGATGTTCTGCAATGACAGCCTTTAATTTTTAGAACCCCTTTAGAAAACTGTTGGAAATTTGGACACCTTAATAATTTCACATTTCGGATATTTGCCATTTCAAAAAATCTTAGTGTTAATTTTTATTTCTCAAGAAACTATTCGACCTCTTCTCAAACTTTCGATTTCTTCATTTAAAAGTATATAAATTATACTGGTGTGAAAATTTTTATACCTTACAAATCAAAATAATTACGATTGTTAAATAAAACAATTAAAAGTAATTATTATCTAACGAATCATTAAAAAATATTTTTTGCATGAAATTATCTTTGAATAAACAATTTTTACAACATGCAAACTATTTTTTTATTATTGGTTTTACAAGTTACGAATGAATGGAGCACGGAAAATGGAAATACGCAAAGAAGTTAAATTAATATTAAGGTGGCCAAACTTTTTATCATTCTCCTGCATAATCTATTTTGACCGTATTTTCCAGGTTTGAGGTTGGCCTTTTATTTTGAGGTTCTAACATCCCAATCAAAAAAATAATAACAATGAAAAAATAATTCAGAGATCACTCGTTTTTGTGTCTAATTTTGTAACTTAAAATATCGTTTGCACATATTAATTAATTTCGACCGATAAAAAAATATTTGAGGTATAATTTGTTTCAAAAGGGCATAATTTTTCCAAGTTATGCCTTCGTTTTGTGTCTAATTATGTAACTTAAAATATCTGCACAAATTAATTAACATCGTTAGTGTTTGGCCCTCGAATATTTAAATTTAAATCTTATAACGTAATAATCCGATCACTTGATCAAAAGTTATTACTGTTTTTTTTTTCGCTTTTTTTTTTTTTTTTGGCGCAACACCTAATTTTTTAAAGAAATAAAAAATTATTAAAAAAAAATTGCGACCGATAAAAAAATATTTGAGGCATAATTTGATCCAAATAATTTGTTACAAAAGGACATA